TTCCCCCGTTGATAGAGAGGTGGGAGGAAAAACCCTTCGCGAAGAGCTGCCTTTTGAAGGGAATTTGGATGAATGCCTGCTCAGCACGATGGTCTCTTCACAATAGGCTTCCTGAAAGGCCTGGCCTTAGGGAGACACCTCGGAGATCAGGTTACCGCAAGCCCAGGTTGCGCGGGCTTCAGCACACCCAGGAGCCGCTGGAAGTGAGTTGGCCGGCACCCCTTTCGAAATGCAGGCCGAGCAAATCGAACCCTCGGCCCTTCAGGTGGCCCTGCCGGCAGCCGTATTTATTTTGAGCCGCCTCTCAACAAACATCCGCGGGAGCCTCAGGTGTCAGGAAGAGGGAAGAGGCAGTGGAGGGGTGCTACGAAAAGAGGAAAGCAGAGCAGGAGGGGGGAGGCTCTTGGAGGTGCTGAAGAGGGCTGAGACCAGAAGGCCACCACCGTTGACAAGAGCACGAGATACGACACAAGGACAGGGCGGAGTTTCCAAATCGCAGGGCCCCTCCCCACTGAATGCCGAGAGGCGATTCCTCCGTGTGAGGCAGGAATTCCTCCTTTCTGAAGGATTTCGTTTTGGAAGAGAGAATCTCAGAGCTGATGAGGCCGCGGGGATTCTTGGCATCCACCAGGCGTCCAACCTGGTTGCCTTCTGCAGCTGAGGAGGACTCCACAACTCAGCGGTACCAGCTGTTGGCTCTGCAAGCAGGACTGGAGAACCTGGTGGCTCCTCTATCACGAGCCCCTGATACAGGACAACATCTGCAAAGGAAGCACCTTGCAGCTTCACACAAACTCTTGCGGAATACACACCATCGCACCATCCTAAGTTTGCTTGGGAGCCGGTCACTGAATTGGCCATTGAGATGATGTAGAGAGAGTCCCCAGGTTAACTTACTTACTTACTTATTTGCAAGTATCAAATGTTTACCCTTTGCAATACCACAAACGCTTGGCCCCCTTGTGGGCTGGGCAAACGTAATTGATCACCCACTAGCCCTCTTCCGTTCTTCCAGGGAGTCGATGCAGAGGTATTGATAGGCTTGGGCAGCCTGGAACTACGCCGCCTGCGGTCGGACGTAAGCATAGTACAGAAAATTGTCTGATACAACGTCCTACCTGTCAACGACTACGTCAGCTTCAGCTTCAATAATACACCGGCAAACAATAGATACAAACTGAAGGTTCACCACTCCAAAGTCGATTGCAGAAGATACGACTTCATTAACAGAGAGGTCAATGCCTGGAATGCCCTACCTGACTCCGTTGTTACATCCTCAAACCCCCCATAGCTTCCACCTTAAACTGTCCACTGTGGATCTCACCCCATTCCTAAGAGGTCCGTAAAGGGGGCATAAGCGCACCAGAGTGTCTTCCATCCCTGTCCTCCTGTCCCCATCTATTAGTATCCATTTCTTTCGTCCATGTCCATGTTTATACTTTGGTTCCACCACAAAACCGCGGACGACACAATCGCGCTGGACAAAAGCGCGCATTTGACGTCATCACAGCGTGACGAAAACATCGCGCTGTGATCGATAAATGTAAAAATAAAGCGAAAACCTTACCCTAACCCCCCTAAACCTAACCCTTAACCTAACTGCTTTAATTTTATTTTTATTTCAATTTTTAATTTTTTTCGTCGCGCTGTGATGACGTCAAATGCGCGCTTTCGTCGAGTGCGATTTTGTCGTCCGCGGTTTTGACGGGTCACGTATACTTTAACTTGTACATGTTTGACAAGCGAAATAAATAAAAATAAATATTTCAGAAGTTGTGGTGCATCAAAACCAAACCAGTGTCACTGAGCTTCTTTGGTTTAAAAACTCCCATTAAGCAAAGAGCAGGAGGGGAGGGGATTCTCCAACGGTGCTGCAGATGTTGCCCTGTCTCTGCTCCCCTCCAGCTTTGCTCTCCGTAAACACGGCCCAAAGTTTCCGGGCTGACTTCCTGTTTTCGCCATCTTGGCATGTCCTCATGGTTAGATGCCCAACGGGAGTCCCTCTGCTTCTGGGTGGCTTATCTCCTGATAACACCACCTCTCAAACAAAGGCTCCAGGCTTCCACGGGCCAAACAAAGGAAGTGTGGTCCAGTTTCAAACAGTCTGGCTATGCTACATGCGCTCCAGTAAAAACAAGGGGTCATCCATAATGTAGAAAGCTACAGGAGGCTGGTGAATTCTGAACCGGAAAGCGGTTGGTGGGGCCGGTGGCTCCTGTGCTGGCCTGTGTTTTGTATCTTGGTGTCCATTCAGACGTTCCATAGATCTCATGTCTACCCTCTGGTAAGTCTCAGAGCAGATGCACCAGCCATTCTTTCTTAAGATGGAGGAATCATGGAGACTTCATCTCCTCTGGTTCTAGACCAGAGGTTCCCAACCTTATTTGGGCCATGCCCCACCTAGGCATCTCTAAAATCCTGACACACACACCCCCATGACATACAATTCTTACTTTAATCAAAAAGTTAACTCTACTCACGCAAAGGAAGCCTAAAAGGCTTGGTTTAAACAAGGTTCAAATTGCCCCTGTTAAAAATCAAATTGCAAGTTGGGAACCTCTGTTCTAGATAGACTTGTAAACGAGCCAATGAATGCAATTATCTTGTGGGACAGGAGTTTTTGCCAGTTTGGGGTCTTTGGCCGAGAAGAGGGACATCCTGGTGTCTTCATTCTTAATTATGGAGCCAAAGTTGCCTTCAGAAGTTGTGGAAGTTTCAACACTGGAAGCTTTCGAGGAGAGATCGGACTGCCATTGGTCAGAAATGGTGTAGGGTCTCCTGCCTGGGCAGGGAGTTGGGCTAGATGACCTACAAGGTCCCTTCCATCTCTGTTCATCTGTCCAATTAAAAGTCTCTGCGAGAGAAATTTAGGACAGTCGTTTCTTCCTTGGAGGTGTAATAAGTAGAGCACCTCTAGGTAATATTTCCTCCTCTTTTCTCCACGAAGGATCATCGGATTAAAGAGGTGGTAACTTGTCGTTGTTGGAGGAAGGAGATGCTGAAGACTTATCTCCGTCACTTAGGTGAGGGAGCTGGCATTGTTGGAAGATGTGGCCAGCCTGGCTATGTGCCAAAGGCGCATGGAACGCTGTTATCTTTTGACTGAAGTGGTACCTATTTATCTGCTTGCATTTGCATGATTTCAGACTGCTAGGTGGGCCTGAAGCTGGGCAAATACAAATTTGCCGGCAGCACCTACTCTATTGTTTTTCTTACTCAGAGCTTGCACCCGTCTCCATGTTCAGAGAGGACCTGCACTTGTTGTTGTTGTTGTTGAGATTTAGGAAGTGAAACTACATTGGCGTCCAGCCATCTTCTTCCTCAGATTGAGGGGAAAGATGCTTTTGGTTGGCTTTCTTCCACAAGAAGAGAAGCTTAGTCAGGTTCTCCTGGGTGGTATTTTCTGACCTGGCTTTCGAAGGACAGGATGGCCAGAGATTGTGGACAAATCTCTCCTCCTTTACTCTGCTATTCTTTCTCAAGTTCTCTTGTCTTTCTGGACTTCCTGTGATGAGAGCAGATCTCCAAGGGACCCTCAAGGCCGCTAGAGAGGCTGCAAAGTGAAGGAAGGATTAGTCATATCAAAACTCAACCTTGTCAGTTACACATCCTTGCCTCTTCTAAAAATAAATTCAGAAACGCCTTCTGAGGAAGCCGAAAATCAATTAGAGAAACAGAAAGTTGTTTTCTGGGAAAAGAGGGTGTTCAAGGAACTCAAGGGTAGATCTTTTTCAGGGTTACACACCCCAACAAATGCCTTTGATTTGAAGAGACTAACTGGGCCCTCAAATTCTAAATGTTAACACAACAGAGAAAACGTCCGCGTTCACAAAGCATGAGCATATCTCTATGAAATATAATTTCTTTAGCAGCAGAAATTCTGGTCCCAATTGTGGTGGTGGCTACTTGTAGAACCCCCTGAGTCTGTTCTGAGATAGCCTACGAAGGTCTCTAGAAGCCATGATGTTCTCCTCTTCTTTGGACTCAGCGGGACATTGTAGGAGAAGAGCAAGCAGAGCTGGGGGCGGAGTTAAGTGCGCCACCAGTCTAGAGTCCCTTACATTCCCATAAACAAGGAGCACGGCGGCTCGCACAGTTAGCGTTGAAGGTTAGAAAGCCTGCGTTCAAAACCTGAGAGTTGCCGTGGGGCAGGGTTGAGCTCCCGTCCTTCGCTCCCGCTCCTGCTGCAGACATGAAAGGAACCCCGATTTGGGCATTCCCCAGACAACGGTGATGTCACCGACTAGGAGCCCCAGTGGCGCAGTGGTTAGAATGCAAGCACTGCAGGAGACTTCTGCTGACTGCCGGCTACCTGCAGTTTGGCAGTTCGAATCTCAGCAGGCTCAAGGTTGAATCAGCCTTCCCTCCTTCCAAGGTGGGTGAAATGAGGACCCAGATTGTTGGGGACAAGAGGCTGACTCTGTAAACCTCTTAGAGAGGGCTGTAAAGCACTGTGAAGCGGTATATAAGTCTAAGTGTGATTGCTATTCCTTCTTTCCTTCCTTCCTTCCTTCCTTCCTTCCTTCCTTCCTTCCTTCCTTCCTTCCTTCCTTCCTTCCTTCAATCCTTCCCTCTTATTCCCTTTCTCATTCTCCTCCCTGGTGGCACCGTGGTTAGACTGCAGTACTGCCAGCAGTTCGATCCTGAATGGCTCAAGGTTGACTCAACTTTCCCTCCTTCCAATGTGGGTAAAATGAGGACCCGGATTGTTGGGGACAAGAGGCTGACTCTGTAAACCTCTTAGAGAGGCCTGGAAAGCACCGTGAAGCGGGATATAAGTCTAAGTGCTGTTGCTAATCAACCCAGAAGCTGACAAGGGTGCGATTCTCACAAATCCTCCAGTCCAGCCCTTCCTGAATTCCGTTGCCACTTATCTGGCTGAAGCGTTGCGTTTTCATTGACCAAAGCCTTGTGTCGAATAAGTTTTCTATTCTGCAATCTAACGGACGGTCCCGATTCTTTGCGCCTGACGGCCATTCTTCCTCTTGCTTTTCTTCCAGGACCAGCCGCCTGGCATCGGCGCTCGGATGCAGGAGCCAGGAGTCTCCGCCAACTCAGGGTCAGGGCCTGCGCAGCCTCCAGCCTTGGTGAATGACTACACCATGAGGAACCATCTCCTAAAGCAGCAAATTATGAGACGGCGGCAACAGCAGCAGCAGCAACAGCAACAACAGCAACAACAACAACAGCAGCAACAACAGCAACAACAGCAGCAACAGCAGCAACATCAGCAGCAGCAGCTCCAGGTTGGTCTTTTAGCCTGCTGCCTGGGGAATTGTGGGAGTTGAAGTCCACCTATCATAAAACGGGGGAGGTTGGGAAACACCGGTGTCCAGGGCTTGGATTCAGCTGGTTTGCACTGGTCCAGGCGAACCAGAGGTTAATTTTGCATCCAGTTCACCCAATTGGTTGTTGCATGGACCAGCTGGCCCCATCCTCCCCTCTCAGGAGTCTCCATACGGCCTGTCCATCATGCAAGGGGCGGGGCCTGCACGGAGGCTCCGGGAGGGTGAAAAATGAGCCTCCAGGAACTCCGGAAATGGGCCTGTTTCCAGCCTCCAATGGGGCCTCCGGAGCCTTTGGGAGGCCGTTTCCACCCTCCCGGAGGCTCCCAGCAACCAGGCAGAGAACCGGTTGCTAACATTTTTCAATCCCGCCCTGCCAGTGTAGAAGAAGGCGGGTGTTTATAAAGAAAGAAATATTTCAGGGAAAGTTGGTGAATCCGTAGCTGGCAACTGGAAGCAATTCTTTTTACCTGCATTTGCATTGCACCCAGTGGGGGACTCAACTTTTTTTGTTGTTGTTTTTGTTCCTCCTCCTAGGAAAAGCAAAGGCTGGGCATGATGGGAGTGGCAGCTGAGCAAAGGAGTCCCTTTGTGGGACAGCAGATGAGCCAGTTTCCCGGTAAGAAGGAATATTCAACCACAATGTTGTATGTTTTTTTTTTAAAGGAAATTGTTATGTATGTTTAATCTGCTGCGCAAGTAGAGAAGAGCCTTTATTGTCACTGTACATCATGTATACAATTGAATTGGCTTTAGCGTCACTGGTGCAATCCATGGTGAAAAATACAAGCAACATAAATCCCCATGCAAGGAATTAGGAAAAAGAAAGGAAAAGGAAAACCAGCCAAACGTTTCCGTGGAGTGACTGTGGTTGTGTTTAAGAGTCTGACAACCCAAGGATAGAAACTATTTTTAAACCGATTTGTCCGGCTGGCTCTGCTTCGATGTCTTCCGCCCGATGGCAGAAGAGACATTGAGCAGCGTGTGAATCATCTCCGAGTCTCTTCCTTACTCTGCTAAAGCAGCGAGACCCCCCGATGTGACCCAGTGGTATTAAGAGGGCAGCCAGGGGTTCCTTGTGCCTAATTGATCCCTCTCTGCGGGGCCTTCCTGTCCACAGCCGTTAAACCCGTGTACTCTACTCTCATGGAATACGTGAGGACACTTTCTACCGTGGACTATAGAAATATAGGAACAGGAAAAATATAGGAATAGAATATAGAATATAGAATATAGAAATTCAATAGAAGAGAAATATAGAAATAGAAGAGAGAAATAGAGAAATACAATACAATAGCAAAGAAATATAGAAAGAGAAGAAAAGGGAAGACAATTTATTGGTTAGTCAATGATATTTGTGATGCATTTATTTTCGATGATAATTTTGTTTTATTTTTAAACACATAAGCACATCAACAAAAACAAACACGTAACTTAAAAACAACATAGGAACAATAATTTCCATCGTATATAATATAGCAGTTCCAAATCGGTTTCTTCCCTTCTATACATTTCTATCTTGCATTCATAATCTCGTTATTCATTATCCATTTTTATATACATTTATTTATTTATTTATTTATACTTAGCTACTTATGATCAAGTATTATTTACCTATATTGTGCTTTATATTTTTACTGTCGTTTATTCTCTTACATACAGTTATAGGTATACATTCACATAGTTATTCTTTTTCTTTGCCATTCTTATATTATTATTATTATTCCATTTGAAATAATTTGGAGTATTCCATGTGATGCATTTTTAAATGTTCAGTTGACTGAGTCTCATGCTTAATGAATAAAAGAGATGATAATAAGAAATTTGAAGGCCTCCTGCTGACTTACTCACTCAAGGTCTTGCTCGTTTCTTCCCAGCAGTTTCGCAGTCCCTGCCGACCGACTGCAGCCAGAGCATGCAATCCCCTGGCTCCACCCACCGCATGATGCCCCCCACCCAAGGGATGCTCCAGAGCACCATGGGCCCCGGCCTTGGTCCCGCGGCCGCCGTGAACCAGAACAGTGGAGCAATGGTGATGATCCCCCATAACAAGCAACCCGCCATCTTCCCCCCAAATACCGATTTCAACCTCCCACTCCGAGGAAGCCAAAACTCCCTGGCCATGACGTCGGGGTGTCAAACTGTTCACAGCCATCCCGCAGCCCGGCCAGGGATGGCTGCGCCCAACTTCACAGCTGGGGCTTTGGTCAACCATTCTTCCGCCCAGCAGCACTTGAGGCAACCCGCCATGGCCAGAATGCCTGCCATCTACTCCAATTCTTCGGCGCCGATGTGGACACCAACCGTCGTCCCCAGAATGCCCAGCCAAAATCCGATGGAGGCCGCCATGCACCAGTTCCCGAACAACCCCGTCTTCTCCAAACAGAACATCAGGTCAAGCATCCCCAGCCAACCGTTTTCTCACCAAGCCGGGCCTCCCCCCAACCAGATTGTCCCCGGGATGCAGGCCAGGCAGATGCAGAAAATGAACCTTGGACCTTCTAACCAAAGCTTAATCCCTCCAAATAACCAGAACCTGAGACATGGTTTGACCAGAGGACCCTTGCCATCTGCCATGAATGTTATGAAATCCATGCCCCAAGGGGTCTCGGGGTTCAACCAACTCAACGCCGGCCCAGCTGTTGGGCCACCCAGTTATCCAGGCTCAGCTGGGCAGTCCTCCATGACCTTCAACAGAATGAACGCTCCTTTGGAGTTGTCGCCACAATACGACTTTGTACCGCAACAGAGCAACGCCATGTTGCCTGGGTCGTGCAGCGAAGCTGACTTGATCGACTGTCTGATGAAAAACAGCGGCGGCTCGGATGAGGACTGGCTAAATAATTTGACACTGATAGATGATATTTTGGGACAACACATTCAGAGCGCTGGGCATGTCTGACTCTCGAGAGGAACGGAAGGAAGTGTAAATAATTTTGCAGGATCTGGAACGGAATCTTAAGCAATGACAAAAACGTATTTTAAATCTTTTTTTTTTTTTCCCGAATCGAAAGGAAAAAATGACGTCCACTTTGCTTAACTGCCCTCGGGCGTTTTTTTTTTCTCCTTTTCTTTTCGTTTTTTTTTTTCAAGCAGCTGTGTACATATCTGAATATTTTGTAAATTATGTTTTCCTAAACATTAAATATGGAAGTATTTATACTTCTTTGCTGGACGCTGTAAATACCTTATAGAATACCTTTTTTTTTCTTATATTATAGGAATTACACTTTGTTCTAAATATGCAAATATTATTGTTAGTTCCAGTAATACTGTGTATTACAGCATCAAATGTTTTATGTTTTTGACATAACGTATGAATGAGCGGTGCCCTGGAAAACAGAATAAACCGAAAGAAAAATTCGCAACGATTCTTACTTCCCTCTTTCTCCTAGTGCAAATTGGATAATCCCCATTTTTCATTGGCTGCCAAAACAGCTTCACAAGTTAGTTCCATGGGACAAACTCCTACACGAAATGGGAAAATGTTGGGGGGGGGGTTCTTCACGCAGTGAGTGTCTTCTCACGGCACGATCTTAAGGGGGGGACAGGCAAAATTTGGGGGGGGGGGGGTTGCGTGCATTGGAAAGCCAATCCTTTGAATCTGATGTAGTCTGTGTAAAAAAAAAAAACCCGTTGTGAACATTCTCCTTAAAAACCTAATTCCTCCAAAGTCCTGGAAATTGTAAAAAAAAGAAAGTAAAAGCAATTTCCCCAAAAGCAATTTTCTGAGGTTGTCCCGTTCTTTCCTTTCTTCTAGCTCTCTTTCTCTTTCTGTTATTTGTATACCTCCTGTGGACATAGGCTTAGTACACACTTTTTCTTTTAATTTTCTAACAATTCCTGTGTTGTGCTACCTCTAACTAAAGACACCGGTGCTTCGTAGTTTCCCCTTTTAATTGCTCCGGTTTTTTAAAAAATTCCTGAAGAAAAGAAGCCATTGAAATATTGGGGGGTTGGGGCAGTCTTTCCGAGTGAAGCCTCCGCAGGGGTGAACAAACCCCACGGATAAGATCCAAGCAAGGTGCAGAGCTGAGAGTAGCTACTTCCTTCCCAAACGTTCAATCGGCAAGACCGCCCCCCGATGATACTACAGGTAGTCCTCGGCAGACGACTGCCATCTGCCCGTGACAATGGTGTGATGGCCGTAAAACCATCTTTGCAAGCCTTAATTTGCGGCAGGCGTTAAGAAAAATGTCGCAAAGTAGCTGCCGCCGTCACTAAGCGGACGACACGACCTTTAAGCCAACCGGCGTTTCCTAATTGGCCTGGTTTTGCTGAAAAACCAGACGTTAAAAGTGCCTGTTTTCAGGCAAACCGTCATCAAATGTGATTGTGGGGCCCTTTTAATAAGCCGTAATTGTGGCTATGCTGCAGGGGGAGCTGCCATCCTCAGACCTTTGAATCCTATTCACCCTGTTTTTGGATCAGTCGTAACTTTGAATGGTTGCTAAGTGAACGGTCGTACGTCAAGGTCTCCCAACAACCAAGACATGGCGATGTGGCAATGCAAAGCTGCCCCTGGAGGAATCCAGCGTTGGTCTTGAGAACCTGTTAGAATGCCACGGCTAGCTTTGCAAAATTATCTCTGCCAGGATGCCCAGCTCTGAAAACAATTGTCTTTCTCGTTTGCCCACGTCAATCATGTATATTTGTAGCATACAAATTCTTGGCTCCAAATTATTATTGTTATTATTTTGTATTCTGTTTTAAATATACGGATTTCCCCCCCTCTCCCACCCCAATTCCCCGGGATAAAGATGTCGATTAAAAACACAACATAACTTAACTTTGGATGTTTTTTCTGTCATGTATATTTAAAGAGTCTGTTTATCAAAGAAATCCATTGTACTGTACACTTCTTCAAAAAAAAAATATGTTCCTACTTTGTGTAACCATATTTTAATAGCCACAACCTCCTCCTCCATTTGTAAAATTAACATTCATGTCAGACGCACCAAACTGTTTTTTCCTTCATACCATAATAAACTGCCAGGGAAAAAATTGCACTCACGGAATGTTTTCGGTTATTTGTTTTGTAAAAACTGTTTTTTTTTTAAGGGAGAGAGAGGGGAGGGGGTGGGAAGGATGGATGGATGGATGGATAGATGACAGACAGACAGAGATAGATCATAGATAGAGAGAGAGAGAGAGAGAGAGAGAGAGAGAGAGAGAGAGAGAGAAGATAGATGATAGATAGATAGATAGATAGATAGATAGATAGATAGATAGATAGATAGATAGATAGATAGATAGATAGATAGATAGANCTTGTGGACTTCAACTCCCAGCGTTGCTGGCTGGGGAATTCTAAGAGTTGGAAGTCCACAAGGTTGGAGACCCCAGTTCTAGGGAATTCTCCAGGTTGGATCCAACTTCTCCCCGCCTCGGAGCCCAGACCAGAAGGCTCTTTATAAATCCCCACGTGAAGATGGAGCCGCACGTGCTGAGACGGACAAACTTTTAAAATATATATATATATATATCATATTGGTACGTAACCTCCCTTGTGGAATTGGATAAACCCAGAGTCATTACGCATTTCTGTTTGAAGGTTCTCATCTTTTTCCTCCCAAACGCTTCTCGGAGCACACCGACATCTAACCCCGATGGAAAATTACACCGTCTGCTTCTGACGGGAACCCAGACGCCTTTCTGAAACCGTTTGCTAGCAGAGAAGCCTCCTCCTCCTCCTCCCCCTTTGACAAGCACTTAAGTCATTCACTTAAAGCTTGGCTTGGTGCCACTGGCTTTTGGCTTGAGGAACAAGGCCTCCAGTGTGTGGAAGGGACCGGGCGCTATCCTTTGGTGCCACTAATGGTGTCCTAACGTTACCAGAACCGCTGACAGGATGAGCCACCGGCTCTGGGACCAAGGGAGGGGCGAGCAGGGGGTCCTTCCTTTCCATCACGAGGGAGAAGAAGGAAAACTTACTTCATTCGGAGGTCGCGTGACCGTTTACTGGTTTTGTAGCCTTTAAACTGAAAAAAAAAATAAGTGAGAAAGTCAATCTGTCCTTGGTTTGTGGTGCCTGTGATTGGCGCAAGCCGGAGCAAGGATCGCATCTCGTGCAGTCCACTCTCTTTTCCACTTAGTTGGTGTCATTACCTGGCCAATCTAGATGTAGGGTGCTCGTGGAGAAAGCTAAGCAGGGATTTGCCCGGTTAGTACTTGGAAGGGAGACTGTCAGCAAAGAATAGACTAGACTAGAATCNGCAATATGCTGACTCTGTAAACCGCTTAGAGAGGGCTGAAAGCCCTATGAAGCGGTATATAAGTCTAACTGCTATTGCTATTGCTATCTTCTGCTTAGGCATCAAGGCATCTACTTTGGCTAACAGCCAAAGTTGCCATATCATGGCTCAATGCATAATTCGGGTCAATCTGTATTACTGTTCCCCCCCCCCCATACAGAACTGATTAAAATGGTGAATCAATAATGGTGATTTAATGTGTCCCTGTTGGATCACTAACATCCACCCCCCCCTTTTTTTTTTGCCGAGAGAAGCTATTCTGTTGTATGTGATAACTCTTCCCTTTGCTATCGGTTGATGCTCTCCTAATAATGGAAAACTCCACTTGGATTTTACCTTAGGCATTATTTGAAAAGCGTGAGTTAAAGAACAGCTTCTTTAGAAAAGGAAATAGTTTAATTAAGAGCCACACTGCCGTGCCCTCTTTTATCTTTTTCTCTTCATTCCTTTTTAAAGATAAGACAAATTTGGCAGATATCTTTCAGACAAGGTCGTGTGGCTATCAAGGATATCTTTGCAAGCTGGAAATAAAGTTATGGGCACAGGGACAGGGATAGGTTTTGTTTCCATCGAATGAAAGGACTGATAAAAAATGTGCTGATGTATGTACAAAAAAGAGGCAACTCTGTTGCAACTCCAAGCCTCTTGGAAGACTTGGTTTTTTAAATCAGGCAAGCTTGTATTGCCTCTTGAGCAAAATAGCTTCTAAATAGCTTGTAGGTGGTCCAAAAGTATTATACTTTTCGGAGTATAAGATGCACCTTTTTCCCGCAAAAAAGAAGGTGAAGATCTGGGTGCGTCTTTTACACTGAATACAGCATTTTTTGCCTCCCAAAACCCTGCCATCTTCACCAAAATGGCTATGTGTAGCCTTTAGGAGCCTTGCAGAGTGCTTCTGGGGGCTGGGGAGGGCAGATATGAGCTCAATTTTGCCCCCCCAGCCCCAGGAGTACTCTGTAAGCCTCCTAAAGGCTATTCACGCTCTTTTTTTTGAAAGGAGGTCGTCAGAATACCTTTTTTTCTTAATTTGCCTCTTCAAAATCTTGGTGCGTCTTATACTCCGGTGCATCTTATACTCTGAAAAATATGGTATGCCATGCTTAACATATGTTAAAACCTTGCTCACTTTTTTTTGGTGAAGAAGTACAGAGCTCATTTTTAAAATAGTTTATATTATGTTTTCGTCCAACCCTTTTTTTCCAGTTTGCCTGCATAGAAACTAACCCGGGTTGCTTAGAGAGAATGGAATGGAATAAAATAGAATAGAATAGAATAGAATAGAATAGAATAGAATAGAATAGAATAGAATAGAATTCTTTGTTGGCTAAGGGTGATTGGGCACACAAGTAATTTGTCTTTGGTGCATATGCTCTCAGTGTACATAGAAGGAAAAATGAAAAAGAAGTGTACTCTGCTGCACAACAATCTGCAATTCCATACTTGTTTCATTATTAAATATTCTGAAAAATTCATTGGATTAGATGTGATAGTAAAATAACCAACCATATAAAGAAGGAAAGGTTGAAGAACTTAGAATGTAATGTAGCTTCAAATTGGGATTGTATGGGAAAAAAGATGAAGGGGACCAAGAATTAAGTTTCCAAAGAATAATTTGTTTATATGTTAAAACAGTAGACAGATACTGTTGGTGGGTGGGAATCCTCACTGTGATGTAGTTCTTTCTTGTAATTCTTGGTCAAGATCTTTTGGGCTTAAAATAAGTCCAAACTCTACAACAAGAGATGCCAGATTGTGTCTGTAGTTTATATAATTTCTGTAAATTTGCATGATCTTACTTTGCATGACTTATTTTAAGTTTCTTCAACATGGGAGAAAAGGATAACAAAATAGAGTTTATACTGAAATTTAAAACTTAAAACATTTCATAAATGATCGGAAGAGTTGTAAGAATATATTCTTTTAGAAGAAATACGAATATTATGAGCAGGATCATATTCTGTAGGAATACACAAAGACATACTAGAGGCAGAAGTGGTTTTAGAAAAATATTCTTGTCAATCTTAATGACTTTATTTTCCTCTTTAGAAAAAGATGATTCAGATTTGTGGTCCACTTCAAAAACAAGGAACAAGTGAAACAAAAAATAGGGAGGGAGGGAGAAACAGAGAGAAGAGAGAGAGAAGAGAGAGAGAGATGCTAATAAACATATCGAAGAAGGGTTCCTAAAACATTTCTTTATCCATGTATATTTGAAGATATTTGATTTTAAGTCAATTTCTCAAGTGCAGGGGGGAGGATAGGAGGAAAGTTTTCTTTAAAAACACTGACTTGCCTCATTTAAGAAGGGTTTACATCGTTCTCTTTCTAGATCTTAACAGTTGACAAAAACTTTATTGAAACAGGCACAGCTGCAGACTATGCATTCCTTTGAGCAGCTTGGAAGCATATTGTTTATTTAGCTGCTTTGCATGAACATCATAACCTGGGATTTGATCACCGTTTTTGTGCACTGTCTGTAACAAGCTTCCTGTTTGGTGTAAGTGGAAAGAAGTTAATAGTAAATGTGCATCTGGTAGTTAAGTAATAGCAACATCAATTTATGAAGATTCTGAGTCATCCAGGTCATGGTTGTCCCAAAGGTGCTTTTTTCAGGAGGCAACTGGACATTCTGTTTTTTCTTTGAAAATGTTTCGCTTCTCATCCAAGAGCTGAAGTCCTTCCATTCCCCACCATCCAGTCAGAGCTGAAGAAGCTTCTTGGATGAGAAGCGAAATGTTTTCAAAGAAAAACCAGAATGTCCACGTTGCCACTTGAAAAAAGCAACCTTTGGAATCAACATCAATCACAGTTCTCATTACTTAAAATTCTTCAGCCTGTTTTGTGGTACATAGGAATGTTTCCCATTTCAGAGTTAGGGCAGTGATGTGTGATAAGAGTTCATGCATTGTAACATTCATTCATTTGCTGTGCTGTAATAAGGTTTTGTTTAATCCTGACAGTTACATGTCTTGAACTTGATTTACAATCAAGTTGTGGTGGCTTTGGTTTGCTTTGCAAATTTAGGCACTAGCAAGTCTTTGATGGTGTTAGGTTAGGTTATAGGTTTATTATATTTATATGCCGCCCTATTCCCCGGAGGGACTCAGGGCGGC